AGTGTGCAAGCCACTGTGTTTATCCACTCTAAGTTAATTAAAATTTTAAATGGTGTAAAATTTAAAATCTGGGCTCACAGAACATATCTTAAGGCTTAGTAGTCACATGTGGTCAATGGCTACCTACTGGACATTGTAAATAAGAATATTGCCACAATTGTAGGAATTTCTTTTGGGCAGTGTTATATAGACAGATAATATATTTGTAATAAATAAACAAAGATTTTTGCCTCTGAGTGTCATATTATCCAACCCAAAAAAGAGAAATTAAAATCAGTATGGTATCACCAATTTACCAAGGAAAATGAACCTTTTCAGGGACTTAGGCCTAGAAGAACCCCATGTGGTCTTCATGCAAATACTCACACACTGACAGCAATAAATACAAGAGCCACAGAGACAAGGTGACAAAATTTTCACTTAGCTCTCGTCAAAGTGGAGGTATTCATTACTCAAACTCAACTCACCAGAAGTAATTCTTCAGCGATACAGTTGAAATTTACAGGAAGATTTTAGTGACTTAGAGTGAATTTACATGTGCAGTGAGGCCCAAGGGACAAGATGTCCATGTCCATCTGGAAGGCGAGCATCCAAATATAAGGAGAAACAAATACAGGAGTTCCGGGATTGGGAAACATTGGCAAGTGTGACAGAGAGAAACGTCTGTGACAATGACATTTGAAGTGAAGAGTGAGATGAGGCTGAACAAGATGTCATGGCCAGATCAGCAAGGCCTGTGTAGTTCATGGTGACCCGATCAACAGGAGGGTACTACTTTACAGCCTGAGAAAAGTCAGTCTGGGGGCTGGGAACACAACTCATCCGGTGGGATAATACGGTCCTGTAATCCCAGTACCGTAACCTCAGTGAGCTGAGGCACAAGGATTCTGAAGTCAAGACTGATCCTGGATTATATATAAAAGTCTAGCTCATAAAGTGAAACCCTGTCTCAAAACAACTGTAAAAACTGAGGGTAGAGGGTGAGGAGAAAAATAGTCACTGCTATATGAAAATATGGCTTATAAGTAGGCAAGAAAAATATAAAGATGGAAGGGAATAAAGTAGTCACCAGAAGAAATGGTGAGAAAGTCATCTGAATTGACAGGTATTTCAGATGTAAAGTCAACATAACTTGAATGATTGGTTTAAATGGAATTTGAAAAAAGAGAAGAAAATTGCAATGACTGTTATCTGTTCTGTTCTTTGCTGGGCTAGATACCACCCACTGCTATGACAAAGACCTGAGAAAGAGGAATTGGAGTGGAGAGGAATTGGCTCATAGTGTAGTGTGGGTCCTGGAGTGTGGAGTGAGTGCCCTATTGTCAGAACAGAGCTGTCAGCTCGGGGCTCAAGGGAGGGTGAGTAAAAGATGGAGGTTTGGAGTGCCAGGGTATGGGTGGTATTAGAAAGCCATGAAATCCAGAGGTCGCCCAAGGAAGAGCACACACAGAAAACAGCCTCAGGGCACCTGGGATGTACAAAAGAGGGCTCCACAGGAGACGGAAAGGCAAGGAGGTTGTTGGTCACTCGGGATCCCGGAAGCTTGGAGGAGAAAGCATTTAAAGAGGCGCGAAGGTGCAACGCTCTCCAGTCATGCTCCAGAGCCCAGTGAGCTGAGGACATTTTGGCTTTGGAAGTATGTAGGTCATTGGTGACCTTGATAAAGGCTGCTTAAGTGGCGTGATGGGTCAGCGGAAAATGGGAGCAGAGTTGAGACAAGAACAGGAGCTGAAAGACGTGCAGACAGGGAATGTAGATCTTATTTAAAAAAAAAAAAAAAAAACTTTTTGCAACAGCACCAAAGTTAACAGAGTAGAGGGACATCCAGGTCAAAGGAGAATTACCGGTTATTTTTTAATAGTTATTAAAAAGGCAGCTTTGATGGCCAAAAGTGTGTACATTTCAAAGCAAGAGAGATCTATGTAATGGGAGATAAAGATAGAAAAGGAGAGGGAATCTGGAGGGGAAATGGAAGCCACTGCCTTTAGACGGGGCAGAGGCAGCAGGAACGGACATAGGCAGGTTAAGGAGCTGTGGATGGAGATGAAATTCTTGTAGACAGAAGAAGGAAACATCATGACCCTGAGGAATGGGGGGTGGAGGCAGAACATGTGCGGGAATAGTAGGGAGCCAAGATCTGGAAAAGCTGATCCAAAAACCAAAAAGATAAATTTTCTGGAAGCGATGTGGGACCCTCCTGGTGAGCCCAGAGAAGTGCTTGATCACAGAGTTAAAGGGAGACTGCCAGTGTAGTCTCTGATGTTTTTGACAACAGCCTGCTGCTGAGGGGCGAGAAAACACTAAGTAAGATGCATGGTGCTTCACCAGCTGGGGGGTTGCCGGGCACAATAAAAGGGAAGCCTGCAGGAGAACCGAGATTGCTGGAGAGGAGTGGTTACAGTGCAGAGTAGGCGGGATAGAGTGGAGAGTAAACCCAGCCATCATCAATGGGCTGTTCGTGTAGCCTCACTGTCTGCCAGGACCCATTAGTATGCACAGTTGTCTTTTCCCCCATAAGGAAGCTCATTACTGATTTCCCCTGGACCCTGCCAGATTCAGAATCCCCCATCGGGGCTGTGCTTTGCAGCCAAAGCTCATGCATTCCTAAGACCGGGGAGGCCACGTGACTGGCAGGAAAGAACCCCAGACTCGCTGGGAGAAGACCTGGGCTGGGGTCACTTTCTGTGGCATTTAGCAGATGGATGGGTTCTCTCCCTCCCTGGACCTGTTCCCTCTTGTGGTAATCACCCAACCCAAACTGTAGTTTGGCACACAGATCTGATGAGATGGTAAATGTCAAGCCATTAAGAGGAAGAAAAATAGAAGACCGGGAAAGTTACCGGATTCGCCCGACACTGTAGGGAGGCACTGAACACAAATCTAAGACTCTGACTGGTGTGAGGTTTGGATTTCAAATGTCAGCGAATATAGGTCACCACGGCACATAAGCAATCTGCCTTAAAAGTAGAAACTGATGAAATTCTCACAAGGAAAGGCAGCGCATTTCAACACCGGCCACGAGAAGCAACAAACTCTTCGTGCAAATGCCCAATCCACCCACAGCTCACACAGGCTATTGCCGTAGGTGGCCGTCCAGACCCTGCAAACAGTGAAAGACAATCCATAATCACTCTGAGTGCCGTGGTCTTTACAAGGCCCACTGGCCATCTCTGCAAAGAGGGAAGAATCGAGTTACTTCCTCCTCAACCACATCAGGAAGATGAGATTGTTTTTTTTTTTTCAAGAGATAAAAATAATAGCTGAAAATGACTTTGGATTGCTCTGAAAAGGTGGCTAGTCACAAAAGTGAAGTGTCACTATCATTAAGTGTGAGGCAATCCTTCCCACCCCCACCTTGTCCCAGGGCTACAGGGCGAGCTGTGTGACAGGCTATTTTTAAATTCCCATCTCTGGAAGCATATGGTCCTGCACCATGCCAAAGAGAGAAAAATGACCCGCTAAGTCTGTTTGCTTGTTTGTTTTGATGGAACATTGTCTGTGTTCCCAAGAAAGATGATGTTTTCTGTTCTAAACACTGAAGGTGAGTGTTGGCTCTCTCTCCTACATTGTCTGGAAGAGTCTATGGCTCCATGGCTTACTTAGGCACTCGAGAGTTCTAACCTGGGCAATGATGTATGTACACAAATTTTCTCTGGGGTTTCTCTGGATCAATTAAGATGTTTCCAAGTTAGAGGGATTATGTGGCGATCTGTGATTTTTTTTTTCTCTAGTGTTCTGACACTTTTGTTCATTCCATGGCATTATTTTTAGCTGTAATGATTTTTTGTGAATACTAGAGCATCTATTTCATGAAATACAGGAGGCTCCAGTGCTTCAGTGTTTTCTGCAAAAGAAAAGACTCATCCTGTGGTTTTCCTGGTTGTTCCTTATTCTTTCTTATGTTTTCTGTTTTATTCACATCAACTACTGTTGACTGAATCCTTTTTCTGATGCAAATACATGGTAAGGTCATTATTAACTTCCTATTCACTGCCTTTCAAAGTTGTATTTGCTATGCTGGGGCTTGAATCCCCTGTCCATGCTAGGCAAGCACTCCAGCACTGAGCTTACTTCTTATTTTTTATTAGTAAATACTGACTGTACAAACCCATTTTTCATTTAAGTGTAGAATGTAGCCTCCTGTTGATTTCTCTTTCCAAATTGTCTCTCTTCTATTTTCATGTTGTTATCAAATATCTAGAGTCCACATGTAAGAAGAAACACATAATAATTGTCCTTATGACTGGTTTATTTCACTTAACATGATGATATTTAGTTTGGTCCATCTTCCTGCAATGGCATAATTTTGTTCTTCTTTACAGCTGAATAATATTTTATTGTGTAAATATACTGTATTTACTTTATTCATTCATCTGTTGGTAGGTGTCTAGGGTGATTCCATAACTTGGCTATTATAAATAGTGTAATAATAAACCTGGATAGACAGGGGCCTGTGAGGTATGCCGATTTGGATTCTCTCAGGTGTGTAATGAGGCGTGGTATGGCTTGATCATACAGAATACTTCTGTTCTTAGTTCTTCGCAGGAACCTCCATGCTCACTTCCATAATGGATGGACTACCGTACATTGCCACCAACAATCTTCAAAGGCTCCTTTGCCCACATCCTCGGCATAGCTAACCTTTACATGTGACCTAACCTTACCCTTCTGCCCTGCTATGTGACAACACTGCTCTCAATCTTGTCAAACTTCCCACTCACGGGGTTTGATTTCTGACACCAAATCCCTGGAAAGAGATCCAACTGACCAGAAGAAAAGAAAAGGATGGAAGCACCCTTTTCCCAGAGTACACGGGACCTGGATCTTTAGCAAAAGGAGAAAAAAAAAATCCCATTAAAGTAAATATGGATCGCATAATCCTTTTCCTCTCTTTCCTCTTCTTTCAGCCTTTTCTCTTTCATTTTCTTTTTTTTTCCCCCATAAGATCCAGGATTCAAGTCTCCTGTCTTTAGGTCGTGATGAACGAAGACAGAATTGAAGATATTTCTAAGTATTTTATTCAACAAAAGAGAATTTTCAATGAGATGGTGAGAAGTACTCAAGAAGGCAGGCATGCATCTTTAAAAAAAAAAGATAAGGACATAATCAAGAATTGTAAAAAGGAGTTTGGAGGGTTTTACACACCCTTGGGGAATCAATGAGAATCAGTCTAGTGGGGTGCAGTGTTCACCTGGTTCCCATCTCTCAAGAAGTTGAGACCGGAGGATCGTAAGTTCAACCTCCAGTGCATAATGTATTCCCACCTACAGAAACAAGGGAGGAGAGGTTTGTCTGGGCTCACACTTTCAAACGGCTGCTGTTCACCAGTGGGAAAAGCCTATTGGAGTTCATGGTGATGGGAGTATATGGCACTTACTTGACACATAAAAGAAGCAGAGAGTCCAAGCAGAACCAGGGCCAGGTATAACCTTCAGGAGCCCACCCTTAGTCACCAACTTCGGACCAAGATGCTCCACCTCAGAAGCTGGGAACCAAACATTCAAAACCTAAGCCTAAGGCAGGAGGACATTTCAGATTCAAACCATAATTTGAATCTGAATTCTTCCCCTTGCTCCTAAAGGATCATGCCATCTCATAATGAAAACTGCATTCAAAGTAACTTTCAGAGCCCCCAAAGTCTTGGTAGTCTCAAGATTGTTCAAAAGTTCAACGTCTTTTCTGAGATTTATCATAAACTCTTAACTGCGAGTCCCTCCAAAAAAAATCTTTTAAGTTACACATTTCTAAGACACAGTGGCATAAGCATTCCCACTCCAAAAGCGACGGAGGGGAGCACACCAGAGATGACCAGACTGAACCAAGACTGAAGCCCAGCAGGACACACATTAAACCTGATCTTTCTAGGGATGCGATCTGGGACATGGCGGTATGAACTCCAGCACGTTTGCATTCTATCGGCGGTAGACAGGGGCTCTCTCTTAGGGTGTAGCTTTCCTTGGCAGATGTCCAATGGTGCTGGCATCCCTAACTTCTTGAAGTCCCCAGTGTAACTTGGGCTTCACTTTAACAGATCCATAGACTGACTGTTCGGGGCGTCTCTACAGGGTATCTCTCCATGCTCCGTGTTCCCTGGCTTCATAAGCTTTTCATTGTAAACTTTAAAGCAAGTCGTCATGAGCCGATAACCACAGACTTAGGTTTGGCTACAGTTACAACCTTCCTCCTTGGTACCAGTGTTCTGTGCTCGCTGCCTTTTCTCATCATGATCAGAATGTCAACAGAAACAAGTTAAAGTAGGGAGAATTTGTTTGTGCTCACGGTTTCAGGGGGTTTTTAGTTCACCAGAGAGAGGAGGGCGCAGCGGAGCTCACAGCAGCAGGAACACTGTAGCAGCGAGCTTGATTGCATGGCTTCCGACGGGAGGCGGAGACAGCATCACTGAGCCAAGGTTAGTTATAACCAAAAAGGGCCAACCCCTAATGACCAACATCCACCAGTCAGACTCCACCTCCCCAGGGCTCCACAGACTTCAAAATGGGAGCACAAGCTGGGGACCAAGTATACAAACTGCGATCCTGTGACGGACATTTCAGGTTCAATGAATGCAAGCTAGATTCTCCATTGACATGCACTCCATTTCGCGGGACGATGTCCCATGTCTTTCTGACCTGCTTGTGTTCTACCAGTGAGAAGAGATTCCAATGAGAGCAAAAAGCACTTTGGGGTGTTTTTGTCTAGGAAATCAGCAATCTGGGATGTTGCTCAGGGCAACCTCTCTACCGGCCATTTCCAGGCTTCTGTGACCAAGGCAGACAGGAAGGATAGGAGCCTGGTGACCTTAGGCTCCAATTCATCTGTGTGTTTTTTTTTTTTAATTCTCTGACAACTAGAGTCACCCAATCATGTTGAAATCAGTTTTGAGATGTTGAAAGTATACTTCTATTCCTCAAGAAAATATCTCTGAATTTTCTAGTAAAAACGTCTGCCAACTTTGTTCAGCCAAGTTCCTCTCCCCCTTCTTTCCTTTGACAATGAGAGCAGATTTGGTGCCAACACTCAGCTCTGGCAGGTATTTGATGACACATGTTCCTGATAAATGTTGATTACATAAGTTCATTCAAGCTAGCTACCATAGCTTTGGAGGCTCCACTGCTACTTAATATAAACTCTCCTCGCAAACCAGATGTCCAACACATGCCACAAAGATCTATTTTTTTTTCTTATTTCTTCTTCTGGGTTCTCTGGATTCTCTTAGTGTCTGGGTACAATGGGACAATGAGAAGTCCAGGGTTCGAATCCTGTCTCTACCGTATATGGGCTGCATAGTCCCCAGGAAAGCCACTCCACTACTCTGAGCTTCAGGTTGTTCGTTTCTAAACTCAAGGGGTAGGAGCTGTGGTTGCCAAGAGCGCCCGCATTGCCTGATAAAGGGACAGACTGGCGTGGCATGTGTGACAGTCCCAGTGGGACAGAAAGACTTTGTGGCCATTCCTCACTGGGGATATCCTTTACAGGATGGAATCTGCTGCTTTTCTGCTGGCCACCCTCCAGTCAGGAGGGGGAGCCCAGGGCTGGAAGGGCTGCAGGACACCTGCCGGGAAGGATGACTGGAGAAAGCTAGGCTGGAGGGAAACGCCTGCAGACTGCAGTGTTCCTTAGCTCTGTGGTACTGCTTCTGTGACTGTGTTAAGTTAGACTGAAAGGACCCTCAAGATACTTCGAGTGTAAAACCCTGGGGGGAAGAGGAGGGTCACCAAGAACGTTTCCAACCCCAAGACTGCTCTAGTTAAACTGAAGCTTCACTTGGAAGCTTTAATTTTTATGGCGAATTACTTTTTAGGGGGGAAAAAAAAGGTCCCAAAGGCTCGCATGTAAAGAATGGAAAGGTAACGCTTTCTATTAGTCCACAAGGAACCACCGAGTAGGCCACTTCCGAGTATCCCGGATGTTTGCACGGGTTCCATCGCTCCTTCTCCGAAGCAACCCTGTGAAATAAAGCACCAGCAAGACCTTCCTTTCCCAGGTGGTGGAAAATCAAGACGCTGACAGGCCGAGCCACTTGTCAGAACACTCAAGTGGTGGAGGTGAGGCCATGTGTCAACCCGGATCCCTTACTGCTGACTCCGCTGACCCGGAACTATCCATTACTACTATGCTCCAAGGCATTCTTTACTCTGCAGGCCAGCCTCCTTTGGCCTCTGGCGGCCAGCTCTGCAGGCCTGAATTAGGGTCATACTCTCCAGTTCTGCAGACTACTGTAGAATCATAGACCACAAGAGCGGCAGAAAAGCCCCAGATATTAGCTGACTTGCTCACCCGACTTTCTCTGTTCTCTGATGCATCTGGCCAAATGAGCTCAGGAACTCTCCCCTTCCTTCTCTTATGGCTGTAGAGACTTGGCACCCCAAAACCAATGAGAAGCCGCAGCTCCATCGCCACAGACGTGTTTGGGAATTATTTTGTGAAGCCACCTACTATAATCCAGCTGACCTGGACTAGACAGAGTTAACATTCGCCACAGTTTCTTTAGGGACTTCCATTAGCCAACCTAACCAGTAAAATCCAGTGGGACTAAGGCAGAAAGAAATGTGACTGCCTGTGAGTCATTCAATCTCGACCTTCGGCATGTTTTGAAAAATGTGTTGTGAAATGCTTTCCAATCAATACACTCCTGGGCAGTGGCGAGGCTGGGGGTTGTGTAAGAGGGGAAACGGAGCATTTATGCTGGGTCATTTGAGAGGCGTCTAATTCCTGCTGAGAGCAAGGACCCGGAAACACAGGGCCCCCATAGCAGTGGCTGGTGGGATCACAGAGAGGACCAAGCACAAAGGAGGAGCAAAAGTGGACCCCTTTGTTTGCAGCAGATCAGTGAAATGGGCAGCATATGCTTAGACCCCCAAGCTAGAGTCTATCTGTTCTCGTCAAGGTCCCAGACCAGAGTTAAGGCCAGATTGCTGTTGGGCATGTCAGTAGTAGCCTAACCTCCAGGCATGTCAAGTGTCCGAGGTGAAGAAAGCAGCTGGCAAGAGAAGTGGGCACACAGAGCAAGGCAGCTGAAGCTCGGTCGAGTCCCATGTGCCTGCCCCTTGCGAGGCCTCTAACTGTGGGACTGGTCACATCCCCTGTCAGACCCCTAGTCCGTCCTTTCTACCAAGTAGAGAAGGCACCTGCTCCACGGATCACAGGAAGCTCAGAAGTGAGGAGGGATGTAAAAACACTTTGCGTGCTGCACAGATGCAGAGGACTATTATTAGTGGAAACCCATCAGCGCGATTCTGCAAGCTGGAAAGAATCTCCCATTTAAGGAATGGCACTCAGGTATGACTTGTGGTTAGAGTCAAAACCAGCCCTGAAGATGAGCCTGTGCAGATGACAGAGAACATGTGAGTGCCAGTCCAGTTGGTGCCAGTCACAGTTAGCTGCAAGCTTGGGTGGCTGGTAAATGTTTAACAACCGGTTCTGCGGTGGTGACAAAACCCTGAAATATAAGATTGGCTGAGTTCTGTTGAGTAAGTACTTGCACCGTGGCCTATTGACTTCACGGTATCAGTAAGCCATCAATAACATGAGGTGAGGAGAAAATGCCCACAGCTGGCCCACGCAGGCAGGCACACGCCGGTTCAAGCTCTGCTCCCCAATGGAAACTTCTGAAAGACTGGTTAATGCAACGTACTTTGCAAGCCTGTTAGACTCGTGGCACTCAAATTACAGACAGCCACTAGAATGTGTAGCTCCTCTAACACTTTAAATGGAGGGTGGGGGCTGGAGATATGGCTCAGGTTGAGAGTGCTTGCTGTTCTTCTGGAGGACCCAGGTTCAAGTTCCAGCACCCAGATGGTGGCCCACACCTGTGTGTAATTTCCGTTCCAGGGGATCCAACACCCTCACATAGACATGTATGCAGGCAAAACACCAATGAACATAAAATAAAAATAAATTATATATATATGTGTGTGTGTGTGTGTGTGTATGTGTGTGTGTGTGTGTGTGTGTGTTTGTGTGTGTGTGTGCACATATATATATATTTCAGATGGGAATTCTTGTTTTTATTTACATTGGTACTGGCCATTGTTGTAGAGAATCTTAATTGTGTCTTTGTCAAAATTGTTGATCCCTAAACTACAGTCCTGACGATTGTCAGGGGTAGGGGCTGGGGAATGACCCTTGGGTTTCAAATCCAATGACTGAAGAGTTGGACAAAGAAGGTAAAATGAGACAATGCAGGAGAGAGGAGCCAGAAAACTCTGGAACCGATTATCAGCCATCTCTTCTGTGAGACCTTGTACAAGTTGCCTGCTTTCTGAGACCTAGATTCTTCTATCTGTAAAATGGGATCGGCTCTGCCTTTGCCTCCCTCACGGTGCTGCAACCCAGAGACCAAAGACATCAGCTCAAGGGCAGGGGTTTTAAGGACAGCAAGACTGGAGGTGCTCTGAACCCTTGCTTTTATTTGCTTTGAACATTGATGAGTAGGACTACTTGACTTCATGACTGATATTAAGCATGAATCTGTGCCGTGGCCACCAGGCCCTGCCTAACAATTCAAGTCCTATTTCTAGAGCGAGGGCCCCTGTAGTATTGTCCTCTGCTAAGTACAGTTGTGCTCAAGCAGGGCTGTGAGACATGCAGGACAACCCCTGAGGGCAGTAGAAGAGCGGTATCACCCAGGGCCAAGGGACATTGGAAACTGCCTTTGCCCACAAGCCTTCACACCACCAGTGATCCGTGGAGGTTAAAAGCAATATTCAGCCCAAGCTCTGACAGATACAACTTTATCATAACCACCAAGAGCAGGGCATGGCCCCAGCCAGCTTTGAAGCCTCAGTGCATTACAGGGACCTGGGAATCTGCATTTTAAATAAGTGGCCGCATTAATTCACTTACAAGCAAGCAGTACTGAACCAAAAAAAGAAAAAAATCTGCATGATATGAAACCTGATGGAGCGGAATAAAGGCAGGAGCCTCTATTGATTGGCCCAAGCACTCAATAGAATACAACGCTTCTGGGGAAACCCTGCCTGTGCAGTGGGAACCCTCATAACACACTGCCGGGCTAGGCTTCTTCATTACTAGCAATCGATACCTCTGTCCACCCAGCCACACACAAAGGATGGTCAAGATGCACAGCCACGCCCCAGGGAGGCATACCTGACCTCGGTAAAGAGCCAAACTACTCCCTACTGCCTCGCTTTGGCCAAAGGTCAACCGAGAGAGGATTTCAGACACGTTTACCTGAAACACAACGCTCATCCACTCATTCCTCCAGGCACCTTGGAAGAAAGTTCTGTCGATCGATGCCATGTATCGTGTACCTATCCCACCAAGCATCACATCAACAACCCTTCGACATCAGCCGGGTATGGTGGCACACGCCTTTAATCCCAGCACTCTGGAGACAAAAGTAGGGGGAATCTCTGTGAGTTCGAGGCTGGCCTCGTCAACATAACACCATTCTAGGGCAGCCAGAGCTATACAGAGAGACCCTGTCAAAAACAAACAAAAACTGTTCAGTCTCTGTATCCACCTGCATCATCAGCATGTACTTAACACACCCCAGCGACTTTAGGCAGATGTATAGAGAGCTGGAGACGTCGGACGTGTGATTTCATTTTAAGGATTTCATGGTCTTGGAGATTGAAACTAAGCTAACAGTCACAGCAGCCTGTGATGAGCCTGAGATATACATACACAGGCTCTGTGGCACTCCGAGGAAGAACTTAACAGGGGGTCATTGCAAAGAGACACAGTCTCTCCTCGAACAGGAGAACTCAGCTTGGCAGGAGAAGAGCAACTTCCAAGCAAAAGGAATAGTCTGTGCAAAGCATGCTCATCCCACGTGCCAAACAGGGACCGGGGAGCGGTCACGTGCACTGAGGGCCCGGGGGCCTGCGTTACTGGAACGGAGAATTTGTAAGGCATGCAGCAGCAGATGAGGCTGGAATGAAGCAGGTGGTCCTGCTCCCATTCCCAGCCCTGAGTGTCGAGTTCTCTTTGAAAGCAATGGGCAGCCTTTGGAAGAGTCTCAGAAAGATGAGGTTTGCTTTTTTTTTTTTTTTAAAGACCAGAGTTTCTAGAGAGGCAGTGTGGCGCCAGGTTGAAACAAGAAGGCAAGCTGGGAAGGCATTGCGAAAGCGTTTGGGTGAGCGATGACAGGGTTCTGAGCCACAGCAGTGGTGACGGGCAGAAAGCAGTGGATGGCTGGCGATGAAGAAGCCAAGTCTCCGGACAGACTGGGAGTGGGCAGGAGGTGGTCCAAGGGCAGCCTCTGTGTGTGTGTGTGTGTGTTTGTGTGTGTGTGTGTGTGTGTGTGTGTGTGTGTGTGTCTGTGTGTGTGTGTGTGTCTGTGTGTGTGTGTGTGTTTGTGTGTCTGTGTCTGTGTGTGTGTTTTAACTAAGACAGCACAGGGTGCTGGACCTATTTTAGAGGGAAGGTAACAAGTGCACTTTGGAATATGTTCAGTTTGAGATGACTTGGGAAATCGAGTCTGAAGTTTACCAGTCTTCCCAGACAACTAGAAAGGATGGGAAAGCAGCCCAGAGCAGAAGGGCTCAAGCCTGGCCTGCCTTCCACTTTCAACCCCAGGAGCAGCACGTCGTTCTCAGGATGAGGCGGCGCTGTGAGGAGAGCAGCCTGCAGAAAGCTTGGGTAAAGTCTTCTGGGGTTACTCAGGAATACCCTTAGGCTGGTGGGGCGGCCAGGGGGGTGGGCACTAACAAATCACAATGGTGACTTTCATAATTGAGAAATGGCGTCCTGTCTGCATCATCTCCACAGGCCAGGGACTGCAGTCGGTCACCCTTTACAGGGTCTCCCAAGGTATCCCTTGGGCCCCATTTAGGAGGTTCAGAGCCTTCCCTGAGATCCAAAGTAGGGAAGGAAGCAAGAGTGAAGTGATCCTCGCCCTCTGTGACTCCAGAGCGCACCGCCATCACCATCATAACGCCTGACCCTCACAAGTGATTTCCGAGGCAATCTGGGGGAGGCTTTGCTACCCCATTTCACAGAGCCGGAAACGAATCCCAGGGAGGGCCGCTAAAACATCTGTGCTTCCTCTTGCAGAGTCAAAGGGGGCCTGCTGTGGTGTACCCCAATGGTGCCCAGCACTCAGAATCTTCGCGGCCTCTCAGAAGGAAGCCCTACTTCAGGCTTCAACAATTTGCTTACTGGCATGGTGAGGTGCTAATAACAGCAGCCACCCAAGGCCGGGTTTAACTAAGCTCAATTCCTCCCTCACTAATGTATGCAGCAGCTTGCCCCCACAAAGGCAGTCCTGGGGTGGGAGTCCCTTTTTATTTTCCTTCTAATAAAATCCATCTGCTTTGGGTTGAACCAGACAAGAAGACTGAAAGCAGCCAGTCAATAAAACAGCCCTCGGGAGGCAGAGCCAGGTGGATCTCTGTGAGTTCGAGGCCAGCCTGGACTACCAAGTGAGTCCCAGGAAAGGCGCAAAGCTACACAGAGAAACCCTGTCTCGAAAAGACCAAAAAAAAAAAAAAAAAAAAAAAAAAAAAAAAAAAAAAACAGCCATCTATAAACTGGGTGGCGGCGCACGCCTTTAATCCCAGCACTCAGGAGGAAGAGGCAGGTGGATCTCTGTGAGTTTGAGGCCAGCTTGGTCTACAAAAGTGAATTCCAGGACAGCCAGTGATACACAGAGAAACCCTGTCTCGAAAAACACAAAACAAACAAACACACAAAAAGAACAGCCATCTATAAGTAAGTTTGTAGGGAGTCAGTGAAGCCCCCCTGAAGTTAGACTCTTCTAAGTCACGGGACCAGATGTGAACTCACTGGAGCTCTCTGAGACCTCACAGGGTCGGTAATGGCCCTCTCCAGTCTCACTTCACAGACAAACGTGAAGGTCTAAGATCACAGTCAGGTGTCCTCAGCACCTTCGGATACCTGTCACTCAAGGGCAAAGTGGTATCAGAGAAAACACGCAAGTCTCATGGGTCAGGCACACTGAGAGGTCTGTGCATCGTGTCCTGCACAGGGACAAGAAAAGAGACACTCCCGGTGACAGCATAGCTCTAGGATGGTTCCTTCCCACAAACATCCAGGTTGACAAATTCATCAGAAAATAGAGTTAGAAGCTCCTTCCAAGCAACCAATTGGTTCCCCAATCTTATTTCCCAGGGAAGAGAAAATGTACATACTTTCTGTAATCAATCACTTCTACACGCCTCTTGCAACTTTAGTCAGACATTTGAAAACTGCTAATATACACATTTTTGAAAGGTGACAGACAGAGGTGGGAGAGAAACCCTGGGTTTTTAGTCAAAGGTCATCTTGGCATCTAAAGATTGATGAACTCTGTTCTCCAAGAGAGGACAAGAGTCATAGGAGCAGGGCCAGAAAACCGTCCAAAGACCTTTTTTTTTTTTCCCTCATTTGGCCCCACCCCACTCGTTCTGCAGAAAAGGAAACTCAGACTCAGAAAGATAGGGCCTGCTTCTAGTTATACCTCACGGTAGAGTCCGATCAAACCACGGGCTGTTTCTCTTCATCCCACTCCCATTCGCTGAGTGTCTACCAAATTCTGGCTGGGCAAACAGAACAATAAGTAGAACCGACATTCAGGGCACACAGCAGCCCAAACCTGACCCCAGCACAGAGGGTACATGCTATGTGAGATAGGCAGAGGCACTGTGGAATATGGAGAATTCAGAGTGGGAATTCTGCCCGAGGTTACCAGGGAAGGCTCCACCCCGGGGTGAGCTTGTAAGTCCAGAAGGCAGACAATGGAAGAGCATTCCAGGCAAAGGGGGCAGAGCGAGCTATAGCCAGGGGGATGGAAGAACACAGTGTGCACGGAAAGCGCCATACAAATAGTTCAAGACAGCTGGGGGTTTATAGAAAGAGCCACAGGACAACCTCGGGATGTCAATAGGTCTCAGCTGCCCCTTCTCCAGCTCATTTGGCACCCTCCCTGGGGCTGCGGCCCATGTCCACCTAATGGGCCAATCCAACACCTGGCCAAGTGCTGATGGCATGGTAGGGCTTAATGAATTCCCTTTGAAGATGAGAGGCCGGTGAGGGAGAAAAGAATTTGCCACTCGAGTGAGTCAGCTGGAACGGAGGAAGGTGTGTCCTGGCTCCCGAGGCCTGGTGTTCTGGCTGCCCAACCAGACAGCTGGGGTCACCTCCCCTGGGGCCACAGGGTTCCACTCGGGAACATCAGGTCTTTTTTCAGCAAGTCTTCCTAAGCCACAAAGCTTCTGGTTCACTCCTGGCCTCTGGAGTTTTACCAGCATAATTGATCCCAGAGCTCTGCTCCTCCATACCCATTGGCTTCCTAGGGAGTGGTGGCACACATGTGTCCTCCCTACTCAGAGCACCTGCACATCACATCCCCCCCCCCATGGGACAGTATGGAGGACGCGCAACAGGAGGCAGAAATAGCGCTACACTTTGAAGTCATCCTTCTGGGTGCTCTGCGTTTCCTGTCCTGAGCTCCGCTTTTCCTTTGGGGACAGCTGAGACACCCAGAGATAAACAAAGCCTTAAGGTGACTCGCACTGCATAGGTAAAAGCGTTTCCAAGGCTCTGCATATTCCTACCTTCTGGTGGTAATTTGCAGGCATCGAGGCCCCTGGTGAAGCCGCTTCAGAATTTGGGTGGGGACAGGGGAGAACCCTGAACCTGGCAACTCTTTCAGGTGCTGTCACACATATAGCAGGCCTACAAACTATAAAACCACCCAGGCAAACTGTGCCAGGATGCACCGTGACGAGGGAAACCATCCACATACCACAGTAGCCATTGAGCGGCCCAGACAGCCCTCAATGACTAAGGTGTTTTTCCACTTACACTTGGTTCTTTTGCTTTCACTACACAGTTGTATTAGCAAACGAGAGTCCTGAGCAAGCAAAACAGGTCCTTCCCTGGTCCCCTGCAAGAGAGAACCCCGTCCTCGGCTCACTCCAGATCTCTGGAGTCAGGGAACATCTATTCACCTAGGCTTTCCAAAGCACAGCTCCAAGCAACTCTCACCACAGAGCTGGTGAAGGCAGGAGACAGCTGACAGGCTGCAAGCGAATGTGACTGGGCAATGAACCAAGCTAAAGACAAGGCAGATACAGAGAGTGAATTAACAGCTTGTGTGACTGACGGACGACCAGTACCCGGGATATAGGAGGAAAAACAGCTACCCAGCCGCAGGCATGGAAAAGAGAAATAAGCTATCCGCTTATGTATCAACACACAAAGCTGGGACAGTAAGTGATGCCTAAGCACATGCAGTTACCATCCCTGACAGCCAAAGGAACACTACTGTGAAAAGCAAGAGCCTTCATTTTACAGCAGACACTTTGGCCAAAATGTTTCACATCTGACAACAGGAGGATTTGGTGATGTTCAACAACAATAAAACAATGAACTAAAAGCTGATGAAACCATATATTGATATAACCATTGTGAGGAGAAATCTGCAATACCCCCCAAAGGTGAGGCTAGACACACCCTATATTTTAGAAGCTCTACTCACGCGTGTACAGCCGAGGAAATCCTTGCATAAGTACACAAAGGCCCTTGTATAAGGACATTTTCTGCTTCGTTGCTTCTAAGAGGGAAATGTCATTGAAAAGCTCACCAGTACAGAATCGCTTAAGACATTGTGCCATATACATATAAAGAGATGTTATGGAGGTAGAAGCTAAAGAGAATGAAGCCAGGCTAAGGTACCAAATACTGGTGTGCCTAAAGCAACGATGTTAAAAGAAAAAGAGCAGTTTTCAGAATAAATCAGTATTATATCACTTCTGAAATTTCTGAGGAATAGAACAATACTCACCATTGTCCTGGTCACTTATGGAGTGAATGAGCCAAACATGGGCAGGGCATGAACACATCATCTTTGGGAAGGTAGTTGCATTTACGAGAGAGAGAAAGCTAGAAGAGGTGAGCCACAACGGACTAGGCTACTTTTTATTCATTTGCTTGTTTGTTTGTTTCCTTAAAAAGCTGAAAAGGCTATGAAGAAAGTCCAGATGGCGGGAATAAGAGGAGTCAGGGCAAGCTTCATTTCCTGCCTGTCCGGGAAGCACATCACGACTGTCACACCACATCAAGCCTGTGACTGCCCCTTCTTCACACAAGGAGTTGGAATAAATGGCCCCGGGCTCCCTGACCTTCTTGGCTTTTGTTTACAGCCCTGGAAGTTGACTAGGCAAAGGGAAAGCTTGATGGAGGAGTTGTAGTGCAAACACCCTGAACTATCACATCCAAAGTCTTAACCAAGTCCATGGCCACGGTCACTCAAATTTCCTCTCGCCTCAGGCATAATACTATACCTCCAGGGGGCCTACTTACCTCATCTGTAAAAAAAAAAAAAAACGGGTACACAACAATAACACATCTCTGAACAGTTGTGATAAGCAAATGAATATGTAAAACGCTTTGTGAGTGTAACGTGCTATGCAGATGGTCACTACTATTAATGACCTGGATTTTACTGCAAAGGAAACCTTGGGCCCCATTTACATTTCTGGCCGACAGTGACTCATCCAACTTCCCTCCTAGAGCACCTGGTTGAGAAAACAGGCCTAGGCATCATCCTGCGGCTAACTGCTTGAAGAGTTCACTGATTCCTCTTTGGGCAGGTGAGTCTGAGAGCAGGATTGAGCACAATTGCAAACTCCTCCTCCCCCCCCTCCTCCTCCCCACCCCCCACCAGAAGTTGTTGGAGCAGGTCTGATTCTTGTGTGTGCGGCTCAGGTGAGAAGATTCTCTGGGCCTGGAATCTGCACCCGCCCACTGCAGGATAGAGGAGAATATTGTCAGCAGACAGACGCTTTCTTGGCTTTGCAGACCACAAAGCTGAAACAGGAGGGGCAAACCTGGTGACCCTCTTCAAACAGCAAGAAATGGGGGGTTATCCAGGAGTCTTCTTAATTCAGGGTAACCAGGGCAAGACCTTTCCGCCAAGTGCTTTGGTTTCTATACACGCAAAAGTTTCTAGGATTAAATGCAGCCTCCGTGGTTCTAATCACTGTTATCTGGAGAGCACTCAGTTCTATTAACTATGAAATGCAATAGAATTGCCCGTAATTGATCTTTCTGATGCAGGTGTTGGGTTTGCAGGTGGGCCTCCTTGGAACTGCCTCCTCGACTCCTCTTGGATGGCATGTCTGCCCCGAAAAGATGGTTACTGGTGTCTCACCACTAGTCCCTGCCTCTGCTTTTACCTACTGAATACTCCTGCCCACCTACATCCCGGCTCTGGGACACGGCCAAAAAGACCTTCTAGGGGCAGCAAAGCAAGAAGGTCACAACTCAGAAGACAGATGTGGCATTTGAATATAGCCCCTAAGGTACTCCCAGGGGATGGTGTAAGTGGCAATATTGCTGTAGATAACATTTCCCCCGAGACTGCAGGAACCTACACAGTCATACACAAGGGTAAGTCTGACAGGCAGCCACAGCGGCATCCTGATTTGAAGGCAATGGGGGACCAAACTCTTGCCAGGTGACCTAAGAGCTGGACCCCAAGACTGTTGCATTCTTCTCCCATGGTTACTAACTTGTTCCATGCAAACCCTAGGATCTGAGAAAAGACTAAGGTCGCCATGCATCTGTAAGACTCATAACCTACAGAGCACCCCCGTGCCTTCTAGCTCTTAGATTTTTATGCAGAACCGGAGGGGTGCCTGGGAAAAGGAGTCACCTCTCACGTTGTAGATGAAGACAGGCTTCTGGGAGTAAGAAGGTTGAAGAACTTAGGTCAGATCTTCTGGTTTTAATTCCAGTTCCTTCCCCCACTCACAACTAGCATGTCATCGGCTTAGGAAAACATTTTATTAGTGAGCAAGCACAAGGGTCAGTATTTTAAGTCATTGCCAAATACACAGGAACTACTAGTCAGCTGACCTCGGCCCTTCGGTAAACAGTTTAGGGGAAGGAACCATTTGTGAAGCCAAAGCAGCATTGACATGGCGGTTCACCTTGTCTGGTTTCTAGAACGCAGGGCCTTAGTGTGTGCCCAGTCCCCACCCCTCACTGTACTCCTTTGCCGTGTGGGTTCTTCAGTTCATTAGAAGAGGGAGATGGATGGGACAAAGCAAATGCTCAGAGGAACACCCCCCCCCCCCCCCGCTGTGCCTGCTTCCATGTGTGCCCAACATCAGAATGGCTCCTTAAAGCAGTTCTCAACCTGTGGGTCACGACCTCTCTGGGGATCGAACGAGCCTTTCACAGGGATCATGTATCAGACAACCTGCACATCGGATATTTACATCACAATTCATAACAGTAGCAAAATTACAGTTATGAAGTAGCAACAAAAATAATTTTATGCTTGGGGGCGTGGGGGGGGTGGGGGGTGTCACCACAACAGGAGGAACTGTATTAAAGGGTCTCGGCATCAAGAAGATTGAGAACCAGTGCCGTAAAGAGACATTTTTAAGGCTGGAGGTAAGAACAGAAACACTCTCCTGCTGTCGAGACACTTCAAAGGTTTCCTGCCGCGTAGAGGGGTCCTCAGAACGGCCGCAGAAGCGTCACCTGCGAGTTTATTAGGAGTGCAGAATGTCAGGTCTGCCCAGACGGCCCGAGATCAGAACTGTATTTTAATGAGACCGCAGGCATCGGCTGTAACATTGGCTTGTGCCTACAGGCAACCTTCACCAGCTCCATGCCCTCCTGTTTCTGTACCAGCCTGGGATCCTGCAATTTCTTCTCTGCCTTTCTGCCCCTCACCTACATCTTTTCCATCCAGTAAAGTCTGCCTTAAAAATTTCACCTCCAGCAAGAATCCAACCAGCTCTTGCCAATTAGAAGTCTCTTACCTTCTAAGTCCAAATGCCATGGCCTTGAACTTTCTGCCTCAGATTATGAGGGGTTTTTTTTGTTTTGTTTTGTTTTGGTTTGGTTTGGTTTGGTTTGGTTTTGGTTTTTTGAGACAGGGTTTCTCTGTGTAGCTTTGGAGCCTGTCCTGGAACTCACTCTGTAGCCCAGGCTGGCCTCGAACTCACAGAGATCCGCCTGGCTCTGCCTCCCGAGTGCTGGGATTAAAGGCGTGCATAGTTTATCTCTCTTTCTCAATTATCAGCATTTCAAGCTCCAGTCTACATCTGCTTTATTTCTGTGTTTCTCAGAGCACTTTGCAATGCTTCTATCACAAGCTAGTTCTGCAACACTTCTGTCCATCTCTGTTTCTACTCTAGGTATTGAAATAGATTCCTGAGTTCCAATTATTATGTTTTTTACTTTCTGATAATTATTGCCATATATGATTATGATCTAGACTCAGAAAGACTTACCTAAAATATTTATCCCCATACCTGAAGACATGCCCTGCTTCAAACATGCATGCATGCATGCATGCATGCGCGCGCATACACACACACACACACACACACACACACACACACACACACACACACACGAGAGAGAGAGAGAGAGAGAGAGAGAGAGAGAGAGAGAGAGAGAGAGACTGACTTTATTCCTTTGTTTTCCATAGCTGGGTCCACAGTTAGTAAGAATTTGTTGAGAATATGTGGGAAATGACTGCTGCTCACATTTCACAATCTTACCCAGAGAGATGAAGGAACGTGATCCTATAATAGAGCAGAACATAATGACATGCACATCCCCGAGTCTGTATCAGGATCTGCATTTGGGACAAGCAAAGGTCCCCTGGCCCTTGTTCAGTCACTTAATGGAGAAGACTCTGAAGACAGAACGCCACTGGTGTCCTTCCAATTATAGAATCATCTGATTGGAATTACAGTAAATGCATAGCTCAGTTTGCATTGTCCTGACGTGAACCATGAAGGAAGCCTCCCCTCCTGGAGCATCTGAGAGTACTGAACTCTGTAACTCGACTGCCTTGTCACATCAGGGGCCTCGTGCCAGGGCTGGCCTAGAAATGGGACAGAAACAAGTTAGGACACTCCGTTTCTTGGGACCTTAGAGCCCAAGGCACCAGAGCTAGATGGGGATTTTAATTAATGCTTAGAAGAAAAACTGAAATGTCATACACTTTAGATATTAGCCTAGTCCAGACATGTAGAAGGAAGGTTGTCTGGGGTAATTTTAGAATTCGTTATTCCAGCTTACCTTCAGTCTGGTTTATGGAATCTAGGAGGTGGTCTACAGAACTCAAGTTAGTAGCATCCTGGTCCATAATGAAATTGGTTCCATGTCCTATTTAGCTATAGAAGAACAAAGCAGGAATTCTTCAGAATTGCAAATGTATCCTTTTCTACTGATTCTATTATAGCTTGAGGCTTGGGCCTCATTGGGGTATTGGAACCAAATCTTACTGTTGTGTTCATATTGCTTCTCACTTAATCATCAGACTTTTAAGTATTAAGCCGGAGCCGGGGGTGGGTCGGGGGCTACACGTGAAAGTCCCCAAGTCAGAGTGCTATTGGATGAAACCCTGCTCTACTGAGCCATGAAAGAGGCTGTCAAAGGGGCAGAGAACAGCAGACGGGTGAGCCATGCGTGAGTAAAATGTCTCTCCAGAGTGGTAGCATTCATGATGAAGGAAAAGGAAGCCCAACGTGTGATGGGCATCTGTCCAAGTCACTCACAGAACCAGACCAAAATGCAACCCGGAAGCACAGGGAGTCAGCTCCAGAGGCCCTGGTTCCTTGTGTCCCTACTGTGAATGACAAGACAAAATCGCAGCAGACAACTCTCTACTCAGGTGTCATCTTCAGTGCTGGAACTTGCTACCTGAGTGACTTTCTGAGCCTGTTCCCTCAGCCAGTCCTACCCACTGTGCTGGGTTCTTCCTTTCTTTTTCTTTCTTTTCTTTTCTTTTTTTAACAGGCTCTCTTTAGGTAGCTCTGGCTGTCCTAAAACTCGCTATACAGACCAGATTGGTCTTGAAGTCACGGAGATATGCCTGCCTTTACCTCCCAAGTGCTGAGACTAAAGGCCTGGGCCACCATCCCCAGATCACTTGGTTCTTACGAATAGCTAAGGAAATTCTATGAGAGAGTTACCCTAATTCAAGCTTCGAGATTGGGAGGATGACTCCGCTTTTTACCTTAGCCCAGGGCAAATCAGCTAGCTTCTCACTGGCTCTCTTACAGCATTGAAGTTCTTGACACTTTTTACCCCTGCTTTGAACCGACCAAAGGAATCCATCGTAGATACGCGAGAGAGTAGCTAGATTAAACAGAGATGTTGCAATCAGGGGATATGCAGATATCAAATCGCAAATCTACTACATACGTACATGCATCATTGTGAATAGGTAAAAAAATAGGCAAAGGACTAAATTTCACAAGCAAACTCTTAGCTGTCAGGAGAATTAATCCTTGGGGTCCTGGGTGAGGGAAATCACTGGGCAGTCGAGGTGAAAGGAACAGTTTTAACAGCTGTTGGATGGACCAAGTCAGTGTGCCCATCCATACCCTGGCAGTGCCACACCCCGATCTCCACCCTGTTCCCCAGGATAGCAACAGCTGGACACTGTGCCGCTGAAATTCTAAATCAAATTTCCTTTGGCATCGACGCAGAGGCCTCAACAACAACAACAACAAAATGTTCAAAGTGTGTAGAAGGCATCCATAAAACGCTAGTGCTGAGTGTGTGAAGAAAAACCTTTCCAGTTTGGTCTCAGAGGGCAGAGTATCAGCAAGCAGAAGACTGAACCCTTCCGGTCCCCAGAGTAGACAATCCAGTCACCATCCAACAACCCAGTCCACCCATCAGGTGAGCCAAATCCTTCTTAAATGCTGCCCAAGGTCCTCTGCAAGGACTACAAGGCTTTCTTTCAATGGCTGTACACCAGCTGCTTTGTTTTAGGGTTCAGAAAAGGGGGCTACAATGGAGAAGGTGAAGCCAATACATAGTGAAGCCGAGACAAAATGCTATGCCGTGACTTGAGAGCTGCTTTCCATACAGCCCATCAACACTCTGAGAAGTGTCACGGTCCATAAAGTTCCTGGGATAGGGACCTACTGAGTACCATGGAACTCCTTCATTCAGCATTTGTCTCTGAAAGCCGCAGAACCTAAACATCCTTAGGCTCTTATATAACAAAGGGGAAAAGCCTGGCCTGGGATTTAAGAGTGTGGAATTCTAGACTCTCATCCCATCTTGGACACTGATCCTTGTATATGATGTTCTTTGGCTCTACACTTAAGTCTTTTTGAAGCCCTTGGAAGAGAGTCCCTAGAAATTAAGACACATGGAGGCAATTTTTCTCTTCTCAAGAGCATTCCAAGGAGCACAAGTGGACACTGGTGCCGTGTATCTGTTCAAAGCCCACCTCTTTGTTTAGCTATATGTGGGCATGGAAACTAAATGCCACTCCTGTCCACTGGAAACAGACATGGGTTCTATGTGTGTGTAGACATGGTCAGTTAAAGCCACAATAGTTGGTTTCTTGAATCTGTAGACCAGTTCTGTGTCATCATTCTTGTTTGTGCCAGGGCACGTGTCCTCTTGTGCTCCAGGAGAAGATGCTGATGCGTGAAGGTCCTGGTGACAGAGAAAAACCAAGAATGAAAACCAGCAAAAGCCAAAGGCCAGGGCTCAGCCGCTGCTTCTCAGGATGAACTCAAGGGCATGACCCAGGCAACCGAGTTCAAGGAAGTCAACACAGCGTGGCTGGCTTCCAGACCATTCTGTCTTGTTCATTTACTGACTTTCTTGTCCTGTTGCCTGATTCCTTTTGTTAAGGTCATCTTTCTGGAACATCATTCCCTGCTGCTGTTTCCTGTGTCTACCACCCTCTCAATACACACACACACACACACACCTCAGAAAAACCCTCCTCTTTGTTTTTCAGATTCACCTTTGACACTTTGATGCTATTTTTTCAAAGGGCCTTTTCTTACCACCCTTATCTCCCCCAAAACACCAGCTCCCCCGATTCTGTAGACTCGCCCACCACTGTTCACATTATACAAGTTTTCAAAGCAATCATTGAAATGTGGCCGTTTTCTGCGTCTCCGAGCTCCTTGATGTCAAAACTGTCTTGCTTTTTAGTCATTTCCATAACCTCATCAATAGCCAAGCATGTACAACTGAGGGTAAATACAACAGCTAACTGACTGACTGTTCAATAGACTGACAGCTATTCAAAACTTCAGCTACTCATTTCTTGTTACCACTGCTTTAAGGACCTGTTTCAATCACCTGACAATGACCATCCTGCTGCCCCTTCATGTCTAACCCGGTACCTGACATTTCCCATAGTCCCCCCATGTCAATGCACTTAATTGCCACGATCCTGGTTTCTGGCCCCAGATTCCTGCTTGGCGAAAGTTTCATACTACAAGATGTATCTAAAAGAACTGAGCTCTCTCCCTTGAACTCTTCCCTGAGTATTCTATGCCCACTCTGTCTTTCCACATCATCCTGTGGATGGTAGTAGATGGTGGCAAAGCAGAAGCTCTCTGGCCACCTACCTAAACACCTCCTATGGAGATACTACTTAAAGGTGGGGCTCAGAGACTATCAATGGGTAAATCAAAGGACAGAGGGTCCTCTTAAGGACACCGAGCTTCTCAAGAGCACAAGTCCTTTAGAGACCCCTCTAGTGCAGTAGTAGGTTAGTGCACATAGTAGGTGTTCATCATGAATTGGCTTGAAAATCATTCTCCCCTGGAGGTGATATAAGGAGGCAGAGAAATATAGCTGAACATACAGTATAGCCATAGGAGAAGGCTTACCCTCACTGAGGAGAATGCCACTGCCTATGACCCGTGTGAAAGGGAGTGGATGTTGACAAGTTCAACATTTGCCGAGCACACACGACAGACTCTACCTCCATCACACCTTTCCTCCCTTTCCCCCCAAGAATCATGGACACCGATTTCTGGGAACCCAAGAGCGATGCATGGATTGGAACCCAGAGCAAGAGCCTCTTCCTCGTGTTCCCATAAGGCCTCTGCCCTGCAGTTGCTTCTCAAACTCTGTGCACCCCAGTGGAGGGAAAGGTGACAGGAACAGCCTCAAAGATGACTCAGTTTGGTGACTAAGGGGAGGGGGCACTGGGAGTGGGAAGCAGGTGGGGGCGAAGAGGAGAAGAATGAACACGGTATCTGATGGAGGCTGGCTGCAACATCAAGAGATCTGATCTGGTCCCCATCCTGGCTCTGACCGTGCAGACAGACTGGGGCCCGAGAGCTTCCTTGTGTATTCTTCTTCACCTCACAGTGCGCTTCCTGGGTGCCCTTCAGTACCAACGCTGAGCATCCTCTGTCCTCTAGAGAGTGTTGGCTGGGCATAGGACGCTTGAATATCACGGGGGCTGGGCTGGGTTTTTAAACATGCTCTGTATCACCTAAGTCAGTGAGTATTAGTTCTAGTCCTGACAGGCTGCCTGGCCCCAGACTATCCCCCACAGTGACACTTTGACATCCCTGAGCATCGTGCAAGCAGCGCGTCTGCACCTGGCCACAAGGCACCAGCTCCCCTGACCACACTCATCTCCTCTGCTGGTTGACAATGCCGCTATCTACCTAGTTTCCCAAGCTAGACCCCAGGACATTCTGGTTCATCCTCAACCTGTGTCTGCCCACGCCTATGTCCAGATAAACACCGGCTCCAGACTTTCTCGTATCTTTTCTCTTCCCTTCCCCTTCACAGTGGATGTGGACAGCCCACCATCATCATCCATGGGCTGCTTCTCACCTTTTCTGACTTGTCTCAACTGCCTCCTCCTGGTTGCTCCTCCTCCTCCTATTTTTCGGACTGTATGTGGAATGATACTTCTCTCACGTTTCGTTTATAATCTTGTTATGCTCTGGTTTGCCGTCTCCCAAGCCTCCTCCAGGTCTCATAGGATGGTCCACATTCAGGCCTTTCATCACCCTGCACCTCTCTACCTGCTGGTTTGGCCTGCTGATCCCAACCCCAAAACTCATGCGTGTAGCGACACACCCTAGATTGCAGCCAGCCCTCCAAGTCCTGCACCGCACTGCACTCTTCCCACCTCTGAATCTTCGATCCTGCCACTCCTTCTCAAGGGTACACGCTCCTCAGCCAAACTCCCTGTCTTCTGCATTTGACTTGGATTTTCTCTCCCGGGGAGCCCTCTGTTACACCCGTTTGATTATACCTTTCTTTCCCATGGACAGAGAGATCCTTGAAAGCACCGTTCTAAACCCTCCACTCAACATGTTTGCCGGGTGTGTGAATTATCAAAGGCGGGCATGAAGTCACGAGGCCTGTTTTAGCCTCTGGTCCCCAGTGTTCCATCCGAAACATAGGTGTGTGGTCTAGGCAGCACACAACCATTGTAGTCTCGGATCTCATGCTGCATTGTTCTTCAGACAGGCAGGCCACGCTTCTCGCTCATCAGTCAGCAAGGGATATTGCTGAGATGATTTTCCCAAGGAAGGGTTGTGGGTCCACCTACACAGCAAAAGAGCTGCTCCCAGAAACTCAGGTTGAAGTCACAGAACTGCTCAAAACCAGCGCCCAGAACCTGGGCTACCATAGGACAGGACCCTGGGCCTGCCACCAGCATAATCATAGCTGTCCTCTCCCCGGCTGGGTGCTTTCTCGACTGCACTCACCCAAGGATTGCCACAGCACTCAGGCAGGCAGAGGGTGATGCCTCCGTGCAAAGAAAGCCGCCCACGGAGTCTCACCTCTTCTAGGTCACCGTTCCACCATCCCTTCCCCTTCCAGTACCACCCACACACTGAGATGCCACCCACAAGTACACACACACACACACACACACACACACACACACACACACACACACACAGAGAGAGAGAGAGAGAGAGAGAGAGAGAGAGAGAGAGAGAGAGAGAGAGAGAGAGGCAGCTTGTCTGCCTGCAGACCCAGACCCGTAGTTCTACACATCAGACTGCATCATCTTTCAAAGGGAAGCAAGTGTGATTTAGCAGTTAAAGGTTATAACCTTCCAGGCTCTATCAGCAGTCTGCCCCTCACTGAACAGCTTCTGCCGGTGACAAGACTGAGCTTAGATCTCTCTGGGAAAATTATTACCTCCTCTGACCCTCCGTTTTCCTCTTTATAGGCTAGCACTGAGGGCTTTGCTTCCCACTTCCTTTCTAGCATTACACAGGTACAGTGCAAACTTGTAAGATTCATAGAAATAACATGGCAAGTGGACACCAGGTTCTGTCGCCAAGGAAGAAGAGCCTTTCAAATAAAAAAAAGATCAGCTAAAATCCAAATGGCTACTAGACACATAGCATGTAAAAGAGATCACCACCAGCCATTGCCGTAATGACTTTATACTACATTTGATAGCGCAGTACTTGAATGTATATGTTTAAAGACAAATGCTCTACATTTGAGGTTTAAATATAGGTTAGTACATTTTACACATATGGGAAAAGAAACAATATTTGCATATGCACTGATATGCGTGTTGTTTCTGAGAGAAAACAACACTTGCCTTGCCTAGGATTCACAAATAAAGTATGATGAAGGGGGTGAATTTTGGAGTAAAACATACATACACCCAAACGTATACATAGATTCCAATCCTGACTTATTCATTTCACTTTTTGATTTGGAATAATTTTTAAGTTAACTGGTCTCAATCTCCCCATATTAAAAAGAAAGAAATTAGGAAGCCAGTCTCATAGATTTCCTGTGTAAATTATACAAAAATACAACATCTAGGACAGAGAGGGCCCGATACATGTCACGGTCCCCTCCTGCCTTCTCTATCTCATCGACACAGGTGTGGCCTGGGGCGAGTCACTGACCCCTGCCCGAGTACTTGCTCATCTCTAGGGACAGGTGGACCCGATGACCCCTGGATTCCTTCCGGACTTCAGATGCCGTTCTATCCTGTATCAAATATCTATTTTATGCACGGGCGTGAGTTGAAATAATGAGCGTAGCCAAGGGGAAGCCCCTGAAGCCTGGTGTTCACTCCGTTTCCACAGAGTTGCCTTTTTCTGACCGCGCCAGTTGCTCCCTCTCATAGTTTCAATACAGGGCCCATTGATGACCACCGAAAGGAATGCCCAGTGCAGCTGCGGCCCCACTTGAGCCCTCCAAGCGGGCACGCTCCCGCCTGTTGTGGGCTCTGTGTTCCCGGAGCCTGTTGTTGGAGTGATGTCTGAAATCCTCAACACCTGCACGCCAGCTTCCTGAGCATTTCCACCGCCCCCTCCCCATCTTCCATCTGCATCTGAAAGGCAGCTGCTCTGGCCCCTGAAAAGGGGGAGCCCAAGGGACAGGACATCTCCTTGTTTGGTCTCCTTGGCTGAGCCCAGCCTAGCCGAAAGCTCCTCCTCTGTGCACAGTCTTTTGTGGTTTTGCCATTATGTTTAAATGAGCTTCGTGTGCAAGAGAACTTTTTTTTTCTTTTTAATGAAATAAAATAAAAGGACCACAAAAGACCACAGCAGAAGACATCTGGTCTTTAGATGAAAGCTTTTGCCTCCTCTTGAATTAGAGCAAAAAAGAAGGAGGAGGAGGAGAGGAGGAAGAGGAGGAAGAGGAGGAGGAGGAGAAGGAAGAGAAGGAGAAGAAGAAGAAGAAGAAGAAGAAGAAGAAGAAGAAGAAGAAGAAGAAGAAGAAGAAGAAGAAGAAGAAGAAGAAGAGAGTGGGCTGGGCCTGATTGGTACTGTGCCTCCCCCCAACCCCAAGAAAACCAATACAAACAAAATTGGCACATGGTGGGGTAAAATGAATGTGGACCCATAACCTGAGAAACGAGACCAGAGGAAGGCAAGATGCCTCTCCCATTTCTCCAGCCTTGTCTGCACGTTTCTCACGAGAAACTTTCAGTCCCCGTGACTTTTTTCGAAGAATGCTCGATCTTCTATCCTCTGTGCCCATTTCATAGATAGCATGCTTATGAACTGTTTAGCCGTGAGTAGACCCTCCGCTCCCCCTGGCAACTTCTTCACTGAGTGCCACAGGTGGGTGTGATCGAGAAGCCATAATGCCTATGCTGATTACCCCCAAATTTTTATCTCCACACTAAACTCACCCCTGTCTGCCAACAGCTGCTTCTTCCTCTCTGGGTTCCTGTCTGTCCGACTGGGTCCCAGCACCCACACTAAATTCCTGGGTCTCAAACTCGAAAGTCCCTTCTTCCTCAACACACACACACACACACACACACACACACACACACACACACACACACACATACACAAACACCGCATCTATCCCACTGCCCTACTATCAAGGTCCGTGCTGCCAAAACATCTCCTCATTTCTCCTCTCTGCTCCTTCACCATCACGCTGGCTGAGTCCTGGCCACTTCGCTCGCTGGCTTGACCTCACAGCGGGCACTGCCAACAGCGACCACTCCTTGATCAAAACGCTCAGTGGTTCTAGGGTGGAGACTAATCCCCCAACTTGGGTTCTCATGCGCTGCCTACTTTCTAAATAACCGCTGCCCACTGCGTCACTGCAGTCCTACCCAACAGCTCTAGGTCCTCTACCTGTCAGGGTGCCCCCTGGGGCTGGGGCACAGTGGCACGTGCAGTTTTCTGCGCCTGTGGCATTCTCCTGACTCTGCCCGGGTTCCCCCTGTCTGATTTCATCTACCACTCTTCCCAGCAGTGTTTCCTGACCACAGCTAGCATCCCCTGTCTTCCAAGGGTTCAGCGCCCTGCAGAGTGTTCTCAGGGCGCTAACAGCACCTGTCTCGTAGCACGTTGTCCATGTCCTTTTAGTGCTTAATATCCCCGTTTCTCCGCTGGAGAAGCTGCAGACAACAAGCAGGGGAAGGGGCATCGGTCTCTTACCCCACATTCACACAGCCCCAGCTCCGCACCCACGACCCCATGCTCTTGCTCTTTTGCTGAAAAAGACCACTTTCAACAAAAATCAAAATAGGAAAAAAAAATGCTGCACATTTTAAAATGGAAATCTTCCTCTGGGCTTTTAGGTATACATAAAATAGTACATAAGCACACACACTAGAAACTTCATCTACCACTACCATTTTATTTCCCCGTCTCAGATCATGGATCTGTTTCCATGAACGCCAAGCATGAGGCCTCTTCACTTGCAAGCGCACCCATAAGAGAGCTCTCCATCTGCCTCTCAAAGCCCCCTGACGCTCTCCCACCCTGAGGGTCCGCCCCCCCTTGGTCAGCCAGCATCAGTTGTTGGCCAGCGCCAGACACTCTGCGGATGTCTTAGACAATCTCCCCTGCCACCTCTGTGACGCAGGCACCCTCCTCTGCTGTCCCGTGAAGGAACAGTGCAACAGACAGGCGATGGGACCCACTGGCCATGCTCACGCTGCCAAGCATGGCCACAGTGGAGCATCATCTCCAGTCGTCAACTCCAGTGGGCTAACTTTGCATTTCTCGGCTGGGACCTTTCAGGAAGTGGAAATCTTGAGAGAGGACTGTGGCATAGAGCAGGAAGCTTCCTCAGATAGAGAACCTAGGTAGAACCCTAAAAAAAAAAAAACAGAGGCAGCAGGGTCCAAAGCCCAGTCCTGCTGGAAGGCAGCAGAAAGAGCTGGAAAGCCAGCTGGGAGATTCCTTCACTCCTTTCTAAAGTTATCGATCTCACTGTGATACAGGCAGTTTCCCTTGCATGTGTCTGGGTGTCCTTCCCTGTCCGCTACCCGTGTAGCTTCTTCAGAGTCAGGGTAACCATCCACATTGTAAGGGAACAGCTATACAAACATTAGCAACAGTAGCAAGAGTAGCCTTCTGGTAAGAAGCTCAAGCATTCCCTTCTAGGCCCAGTGTTCAAATAAATAGTTCTACGCTGGTTCCGATGATTTGTCGGTGTTCGGGTGACCTCTCTGTTTCTTGTCTGCTCACCTCACAGACTTTCTCAGGTTTTATTTCCTTGGGAAGTGGAAAGGGCACATACCTATAAAACCAGAGAGGGACACGGTTCTAACCAAAGACTGTCCACTGGATGGATGGCTGAGAATGAGTAGGGTCAGCTGAACTTGCTTACCACGAAACCCCCTTCACATACTAGAATTCCGGAAGTTGAAATCCAGACTTATGGAAAACTAAAATGAAGACTCCAGTGTGAGATCAGCGCTCCTGAATGATTCACTTTACATTAATCCAGCGCTCCTTTGTGGCAAGGTGGGCCAACAGAAACTGATTGTCTCATGCATCCTGAGTTCAAACACATGGATTTTGGGGGCAGATAGAGTGTGGGGACTCGTAACGGTAGCAGAGTAAGAATCAGTTGACATTTATTCGGAGCCAAGTCGGGACTATTGAAATAATAGTCATATTATGTATGTAGTTTAATTTAGTCTTAAAGCTGTGTGAGGTTGTTTTGACCCTTCTTTTACAGAGGGAGTCACCGGCTTTCCTGAAAACACGTAGTTCCTTTGTGTTCCTACAACTGTTCACACGGCAGCATATCCTGGGAGAAGGGACTGCAGGAAGTCAGAGCCTTGGGTTCTGAGGAAGTACAATGAAATAAATCTAGGCCATGGCATCTCTGGGCAGGAGGAAGGACCAGTCCGCAGCTTTCTGACAAAGAATTGGGAGAGCAGCGACATTTCGTGTACCTTCCTCAACAGTTCCCGAGGGTCTCCTTTACCCTCTGGAAAGCTATGTAGAGGACAAGGAAATCTTTGGGAAAGCATGCCCAGTGGTTGGCTTGAGTGTTCCCTGTGCCTTAACCCTTCGTTAAGGGAAAGGCGCCGACTAACGAGGCCGAAGAAGCACGGCCACGGCGGTGGTGCTGACAGCCTTGCCTGGAATGTGCTGAAAGCCGCAGCGGTTCCTAAACTCCGATACGTGAGCCCCTGAACTTTGAACAGAGGAGGAAAAGAAAACACACACACACACACACACACACACACACACACACACACACACACACACACACATCAAAACAAAACCCTCACGTGTCCTCCATGTCCTGCTGACATCCCAGAATCTCAAAGTTCAGTACAAAGCACACATCGGCAGGAATCTCGTGGGTACCTGCAGAATAAGGATGGCATGAATACTCTCCATTTTAGGACTAAGGATTTTAAGTATTCTGAAAGTCGATTATGTCAAGCTCCTCTCGGACACCCAGGACTAGGTAAAGACGCAAACAGAGCAGGTCTGAGGCGGATCAGCTAGCAAACCAGCTGACATCAAGAAGGGCAGAAACATTCACAAAGTTAGGAGGCCTGGATGAAACAGCACAGGGCCGTGTGAGGAAAACGGCAGGAGGGATGGCCTGGTTCTTCAGGGTGGGACAGAAGAGTCCTGTCTGAAGAGATGACCTTGTCACTGTGGACCAAGAAGAGGGTGAACAGGAGGAAGTAAAGCCTGTGTGAAAGCCTCTGAGACCGGAAAGGGAGGTGGCCACTGCAGGTGGAAAAGATGGGGTTAAAAAACAAGGGGACATAGAGTTAGTAAGAAGGAGCGGGGGGGCAGTGTGGATGAGCATATCTCACTGTATGCATGTATGACATTCTCGATGAAATGGCAGAAGGATTTTATAAAGATGCATCTCTGACGAAGGCAGGGGTCAGATTCAAGGGCCGTCTAAGCCATGGGAAGAACTCTGAACTTCCATGATGGGAAACCATCAGAGAGTCTCAAACAGAGAAGTGACTTGACCTACTCACATGCTGTTGTAAATGATCTTGTCTATTGCTTAAACCCGATTGGGTAGAACCGGCAGACTGTCGCGGACATCCTCACAGGAAGCTGCTGAGGAGGGTTCCAGTAAGGTTCAACAGTGAGTGACCTTGACTTAAACCACAGGCTCTTTATCAAAACCAAATAACAATTGTTTATGATTTACAATCTTCAAAACAACGCACACCATTTTATTAAGCTGAATCTTCATATTCTTCAGATGCCGTATCAATTTAGACAATAGAAGTCTGAAAGAGTTGCTAGAAGGACGTGCCAATTCTAGATGATGTTCCTGGCCACCTCATTCTCCTCCCCGGTATTCCAAGATCGGTGGCTGAGAGGAGTGGGGACAGCGAGGGGTACATATATAGGTCACTTGCGTTGGGTTCGCCTACACAGCCTCAACCTCGTTACACAGCGACAGTGACAAATGTCAGCGGCAGGAAATACACAACAAGAAGAATTAACCACATGTTTTTGTCATCCAGACTCAAGAGCCACACACACTTACAGTTGGTTTGACGGGGGCTGGGGTGGGTGGGCTGGCTTCTCACAGTCTTTTAACCAATAGGATTCCATAGCAGTCATCAGAAAAGCAGGCTTTATCAGCTGACCTTTCACGATAGAGGGTTTGAAGGGAAGAAGAGAAAGGAAGGAGGGGGAAAACATGGACTTTGCTCGCTTGTCATTCTAATGGCTGAGCACCGGATCGGTCTGATGTTGCAGACACATTAATTTGATTAAGATACAATCCATGGGCCATTCAGGCATATAAAGTACTCTTGCTTAATTGCAAAATTAACAATGGAACAGGATAAATCATTACCAAACTGGAGGTTATTCTGGGACTCGTGGATTTTTTTTTCCCTCACCCAATTCATTTTTCTCCATCTAAAGTTGTTTTTGACACTTGGTTAAAGGATCGATCTGGACTAAAGCAACAGTGTGCACTGCCAACTCTTCAGGACATCCGTTAAGGGAGCTTAGGCACACTGAGAACGAGAAGTACTGGGAGACCCATCTTACAAAGAGCTTCCCAGAGTCCCTTTGCCTCCCAAGTATTCATAATCATCACATGATTCACAGGGCTTGGGAAACCATCCATCGCTTCAAGAAATCTCTGAAAATCAAAAACTGAAAAATTAGTTTCCATTTCTTGCCACTTTGGGTTTTTTTTTGTTTGTTTGTTTGTTTTTTTGTTTTTTGTTTTTTCCAGAATAGCCTGATTTTTAAGCATAGGCAACTTTTGGTCAATCACTTATTGACCATTACATTCTAAGCATCATGATAAATGATGAGTGTAAAAAAATACAAATGTTTGATCCCTGACTCAATAAGCTTCCATTACAATTAGTCACTGGGTTCTCTCCCTTTTGTGATGACATAAAAAGTGCCTTCACACCAGAGTCCACAGATGAGCTAGAGTAGAGGCCTTTGAAGAGACCATAAAGACAAAAAGCAGTCTATCAGGGAGTGGATGTGCTCTAAATTACACTGAAGTAGGAACAGTTGGCCATGCAGAGAGGGGAAGAAAAAGGAACAAACAATCCCTTCACAGAGAGTCCCAACAAAGAGGCATAGGTCCTCATGGTCCTTAAAGAATGGAGAACTTATTCCATACCATGCAGAAGGAAGAATTCCAAACTGACACTCAGGAGACATTGTCCTGTATCAATGGCCTTGAGCTGGGTATTTCCCCTGCAAGTACCTTGATTTCCTCATCTGCAGGATGAGAATAAGGATCCTGTGCTGGCTAGTTTTATGTCAACTTCACACAAGCTCTAGTCATCTGAGAGGGGGGAACCTCAGTTGAGAAAAGTCCTCCATACGGTTAGAAGAGGCCATGGGTGCAGCCTCGGGGGCAGCTGAAGACCCAGGATTGAAGGGGTCAGGATGGCAGTTGAGGCACCATGAGAGGCTGTTGGTGAAAGGGCAGCCCCGTGGCCACAGAAGACCCCAGAATTTTAGAGATGCCAGTACCACGGGCTGACCACCAAGTGCTAAGAACAGCTTTGGGATGGAGCCAAACCGAACTGGAGATAATCTGTGTGTGCGGCAGAGGGTGGAGCCAGAGAAATGACCTTTGGAGGAGGCCAGAAGATCATGAGTGAATTCCAGACACTGGACACTGATTTATTTACACCAGTGCAGTTTGGTTTGGTTTTGATCTGATGGTTACTGTGCCCAGATTGTCCCCTCTTGGAATAAGAACATATTTATTTTTTATTTTGCTGGAGCCCACAGTTGAGAGACTTTGAACTTTTAAAGAGATTTTGGAGTTTTACAGAGACTTTGTATTTAAAAAGAGACTGGATATTTTTAAAGAGACAGATTTTAAAGTGTTTGAATTTGTAAGGCTATGGGACATTTGAAGTGGATAAAATGTTTTATAGTGTAATGTTGATATTAATGCGAGATCTTGGGGATGAACAAGAAAGGAAAGATTATGTTTTAACAGTGATGCATGTTATGTGTCAAGTTGACAAGGATCCATGGTGCTGGTTAGTTTTATGTCAACTTGACACAAGCTGCAGTCATCTGAGAGGAGGAGACCTCAATTGAGAAAAGGCATCCATAAGATGGGGCTGTAGGCACACCTGTGGAGCATTTTCTTAATTAGTGATTGATGGGGAAGGCCCAGCCCATTTTGGGTGGTGCCACCCTGGGCTGGTGGTCCTGGACTCTATAAGAAAGCAGGCTAGACAAGCCATGAGGAGAAAGACAGTAAGCGGATTCCTCCATGGCCCCTGCCTCCAGATTCCCACCCAGTCTGAGTTGCTGCCTTGGCTTCCCTCAGTGCACTGTGACTTGGGATAAGTAAGCCAAACAAAACCTTTTCCACAAGTTACTTTCGGTCATGGTATTTCATCACAACACTAGCAACCCTGACTAACACATAAATGCAGATCCCTTTCCCATCTACTTCACAGGCCCTTTGGGGAGCCAATGATACGGTGTGTACAGATTTCACTGAATGTGCAAGGAAATGCTGAGCTTCAGATCCTTCTTGCTATCTATGAAGCAGAGATATCGCCTCAAAGGAGTCGTTAGTCAGGGACAGCAAGCCACCCTTAGCTGATGCTTAAAAGACCACTTATTCTGTGCTCTTACAAATGACTTCGGTTACCAATATAGCAACAGATTCACTATCTGAGAGTTTCTCAGAGCCAATGGTCACATGGAGAACAAGGGACATGTGACTTTTGATATAGTCTCCACCACCCCTTTCAGCCCCATTGTTTCTCAACTATCTCATACAGTGTCCTGCAGTCCTGTCCCACAAAAATGTCCTTTCTGATTTCTGATTTACTGAGTCAAAACAATCCTTTTGGCACTGAGTGCTGTCCCAAGAGATCTGTGAGATAAGTCAAGAGCACTTGGAAAAGACCTTGCCTCTGGGACCCCAAATACTTCAGGGGAAACAACTCAAGGAATGGGAAAAGCCACTGGTTACTGCTTCATAAAGATTCATCACTGTGTGATAGCTAAGGTAGGACTCAAGCATTCCAGGCGTCTTGCTCTCTGAGCCCTACTTCGGAGAGGCTTGAGGTGTTCCCAGAGACCAATGCACAAGTTTATCATCGGTAAATTGCTTTATTTCAGAATGTCAAGGCTCCACTCCTCCTGTTTTGAAGTGAGACACTCTGAAAAATGACATGTCAGTGGTGATCATGGCTTAGAGCCAGAGCAGGCCGTGACATTTGTTCCATCCATCCCAGATGGCAATTTCATCTCTTTGTTCTCCTGCTGTTAGTAAGAAGAAAAGGCTGGTGCACTCTGGAGAGACAGCCCAGAGGACTGGGTGGGTGTGTTGGCTCCACTCTGTGGCTTTAAGAACACTCATTTACACCCCCAGCTTTGATCTCTTCCTAGTGTTTGCCTCAAAAGGTAGACATCTCTACTGTTCTTTGCTGTCCTAAGAGTTTGAAAAACGAGATTTCTTCTTATTGTACTCTATTAACTTGGCAAGAGCCAATGGAGAAGAGGATCATTTAGGGGCCTCTCCTTTCTCCCCTCTTATTGGTGAAATTATTAAGGCCACTCCACGTAGTTAAAAGGGAAATTTATTTCATGGCGTAACTTACAAATGAAGGGATAGGTAGGTTGTAGGTTCTGTGAAAGACGCAGCACAGTCCGGCAGTGTTCTCTGCAGAACTCTCCTCGGTCTACCTCTAGCGTCCACGGCCCAAGAAGGAAGAGAGCATGGTGCATTCCGATCTCAGGTCTTCAGGGCCCTCCCTTGGCCCCACCTTGTAGGCATAATAGTTACCAAAGCCTCAATGGGGGTTGGAACTTCCAGACCAAAAGCTGGAATGGCTACCCACTACATCTCCCCCTTTTTGTCTAAATAAGAAGTTTCTAACTTAATACAAGACTATATAGAAAGGAATGGCTACTCACTACATCCTCTAGAATGAAGAAGACCCCTATGCTCCTTGGAAACACTAGATGTGATACATGCCAAGCTGCTAGCACTGTGGTTGGTTACCACCATATGCCTACAAGTGGACTTTATGCCCAAACTAAAAAAGTCAGCTGACCTCACACCCCATGCTACAAGTTTTAGGCATCTTCATAGTCTCAGTACGTGGTCCCTGTACTGTTGATCACAATCAATTCCATGTACAAATACTAGAATAATGTTTGTATCCCGCCTAGAGGTCGTATGGAAAGTCTATCAAGTTTTCTGTTCCTTCTGGTCTGGAACCTTGTGACCATGCTTCAGGTATTTGAGAAAGAACCCACAGGAGTGCTACCCTCCAAACAGCTGATTGGGGGTGACAGGGCATGGTGGCACATACTTTTAGCTGCAGCATTTGGGAGGCATGTTTGGGTGGATCTCTGTGACCCAGAGGTCAGTATGGTCTACGTAGTGAGCTCTAGGTGAGCTAAAGTGATATAGTGAGAAACCTGTCTCAAAACAGAAACCACATAACCTCTTCACTCCACTGTGTTTGAGCCTGTACATGAGTTCTCCAGCTCTGTGGTAGCAGAGGAGAGAGTACAGGAAATGGGAGGTCTGAAACCTGGAGTCAACCAGGGTGGGTGATAGTGGTTCGTCTCTGCACAAGCAGTGGAGAAAGCTGAGTATTCATCTGCTCCAGTGATGTCACTACAGGATGCAGGCTGGAAGCCCTAGTAACATATCTTTCTTATTCATCGTTCTCATCCCCTCAAGAATCTGAAGGAAAAAAAAAATCAGAAAATTCCATTTGCTTTTTCCTATTTAATGAGGTTGAACGTTCTTAAGGAATGAAGAGCACAGCTCCAGCACAGTTTTTAATTAGCTCCAGGAGCCCTGGTTTCAAACGAGCCTGGTCCCCCAAGCTGTTCACTCTCAGTTCCGAAAGAGATGGAAACTCCATTGCATCTGGCCTTGTCCAGTCACAACAAGGTAGTCCCCAGGATCAAAGTCACATAGGATAAAGACACTCTGGGTAGCTAAGCCCTGTAAATTTTTTGACCCCACCAGAATGCCGGAACCTTGAAGAAAGTTAATTTTGATCAAATTGGGTGGTGGTTTTTTGATAGCCAACTGTGTGAACATGGGCCAGTTAGTTTCTCCAGGTCAACAGCAGACAAAATAAGGACTTTGGAGTCAAATAGCCCCTGAATGAAACCTTGCATTCTCATTTGAGTTGCTGTGCAAATTAACTCAGAACTGGTGGCTACTGGCCCCACACTGGTGATATAGATACC